ACTCAATATAAGTATCATGTAAAATATGTAATTCATTGTATTATTAAGCTCTTATATATGATTATTACATAAATATATATAAAAGTGATGCCATTTTTCTGCTCCCAAACTCCTATGGGATTAATGCTCGTCAAGAACTTTGAGTTTTACTTTTATTTCACAATTTCTTTGTTTAGAGTATTATATATTATATTATATTCTGTTGTTTCAAACAATTGCGATATCAATAATAATATTAATGTTATTTTTGCTCGTATTTCTATCTTTTTATTTTTAGTTGTAATAAAATAAAACTTTAAATACATTAGACTTTTTGTATTATTTTTTTTGTTTATTGTTTTGTAATTTATGAGCTAATCAATAATTGATGATTTAAATTTATGGTTATTATTTATGTGTTATGGTAGTTTTAATTTACTAATAATGACAAGTTAATTAATCTGCCAAATAAATTGAATTAATATTAAAAGTAATTAAAAAGTATTCTTAAATTTTATCATTTTATATTATTTACACTATTGTTGTCAAATTATTTTTAAAATTCAAGTTATTATAAATATAATAAATCATAACAATATTCATTAACAAGATTTTAATTTTTATAAATATAATTTAATTTTATAATATAAATTTTAAATATGGGCAGTTAATTTATGTAAATTAAGATTATTTTTCGTCATAAAAATCACGACATAATTGTGCCTGGTGCCAATTCTGGTGGCAAAACATTAAAATTATGCTACAACTTTACATAAAACTATCACACGATGTCACTAGAGTTGGTATAATATTTTCTATCTGATTTAATCATTAGAAATATGTATCAAGAATATTTTAAGTATATTTTAATTGCATAACCTTCAAATATATGTACGTTGGAAATTTTAATAGCAGCATTTTTATGAGCTTAATAATACAATGAATTACATATTTTACATGATACTTATATTGAGTACGTGCTCTCAATGTGTGAAAAACGGTAAGCATTTTGTGTGGATCTAAATGGATATTATTTAAAACATTATTAATTATAAGTTTGAGAAAAGTTTTTAGTAACAATTAAACAATGGTTATAATTAAAATTGCTCTCAAATCTCATAGACATGTGCATTGTGTAAATGATTATATAAGTATATAATGTGGGTATATCTAGTTTTAACCTCCGTTAACCCAGTTTAAGACACGGTGCCCACGAAATGTGAGACCAGATTAAATGTTGATTAGATACAAATAAATGAATATTTACGAATTCAATTCATTTAAAATACAAAGTGTTTTTACATGCATTTATTAAAAGTGAAGGTTAATTTATTTAAACAGTAGTTCAACTATGTAAAACATTGATTTCTATAAATATAAAATCACTGCAATCTCTCTCTCTCTCTCTCTCTCTCTCTCTCTCTCTCAACAGACGTAAATCTTATACCATCCAGAGGTTAGTGTTATCTGTCATATTATTGCAATGTGTTTAAAATAAAATTGATAATAAATAAAACACTGCATTCTTTTATGCCTGTATATACAGAGTGTCGGTTCAACAAGACTGGTGTGAGTGGACTCATTCACCACAAGGAAATTCCGGCAGAATTACAGAATTACTCGATAGCCCAAAAGACCCCTATTGATTGCATATGGACTATAACTGTTAAACATGGTTATCAGGTAATTTATAGCTTAATTGGCAACAATCCGTTAGTGAAGTGGTTTATTATAATTATATTAAAATAATACTTTTAACTTAAGAGTCATAAGTTTACAGGTTTGAGATGTAGCACTTAAATAACATTGTTTTGTGATCTTTGTCAATATTAATTTAGAATATTATATAACCTAACATTTATAAAATGATTTAATCCATACACCCAGATCTATTTAAATTTCTGGAGATTGACTGTAAACAGCTCAAACAACTGTGTTTCCAATTTAATCTATGATGACAACAATTTGAATATATCTGAGCGTGTGATCCAATTGTGTGGCATTCAGGCCAAGTCCGTACTCACACAGACAAACGTAATGCACATCCGTTTCTTTGCCAAACCCGACGCTTTACAGAACACTGACTTTGCAATTATGTACACACAATTCAGAGAGATTAACAACAGTGCAGGTCAGTTGGTTTAACACCTTGGTGTTTTGTTGTTGTTGATCAACATTATATTATTATAATTGTGTGTTTTGAAGGTGAGAAGTGTTGGCACAACGAGTTTGACTGCCAGGATAACACTTGTATTGATAGATCCCTTATATGTGACGGTTGGGACAATTGTCTATACCGTTATGATGAGGACAAGAGAACCACGTGTGCACCGGGTAATTATGTTATATAGTGTAGTTTAATTTTTAACTCTCCTGGGCAAAATTACTTAGCAAATAGCACTAATATCTCAACATTAATAAACAGATTATAAAAAATATTGCCCCATAGCTAAAAGCTTTAAATTAGTAAATAAACTAACCATGGTTCATATTTTTACATTAACAGTGGAACGCTCAAATATAATCATGTTCATATCGCGAAACATTGTGGCAATACTAGTAATAATCGGTGTCCTATTGTTGTGTATGTGTGCGTCGATCACAACCTACTGTTGCTGTAAAATACAAAAACGGAGACAAACTAAACGCAAAACTCCGGAAGTGGTCGGTTTGGTCAGGATATGACCGGTAGAATCGGTGTCCTATTGTTGTGTATGTGTGCGTCGATCACAACCTACTGTTGCTGTAAAATACAAAAACGGAGACAAACTAAACGCAAAACTCCGGAAGTGGTCGGTTTGGTCAGGATATGACCGGGAAAATGACAACTTATGTTAATATATCGATATGTCTATCTATGTTTAAATGTATGTAAACTAATGCATAATTGTACCTGGTGCCAATTCTTGTGTCAACATATTGAAATTATTTTGAAATTTTATATAAACAACGCTCGATGGCACTACTGTTGCCACGAATAGTGTTTATATTGTTACAGAATTTGATATTTTCATCAAGAATATTTTACTATATTTTATTTACATGATCCTAAAATGTTGTATAGTTTTAATTATATGTTTGATGTATATGAATTATTTGTAAATTCTTTGAATAATAATATTAATAAAGCAATTAAAATATTATAAAAGCTCGAAATGATACAATGAATTACATAGTGTACGTGGTATTTATTTTGATTACGTGTTGTCAATGTGTGCAAAACGGTAAGCATTTTCTGTGTCCATAAATGAGATATTAATAATTTATTATTATAAATGTAGATAAATATACGCCTTTTAATGTATAGATTAAGCAAACCTTGTCATTGAAATCGCCATCAAATCCCATAGACATACATGCATTGGCCAAATATTTTGATGCATGTTTTGTGTTTCCATTGATAACAGTAGCACAATCATGTCAGTAGTTAATTTCTATAAGTATACACTCGTTAATCTCTCTCTCTCTCTCTCTCTCTCTCCGACTCACTCAACAGCTGAAAAGCCTTCACCAGCGAGAGGTCAGTGTTATCTCCGATATAATATTAATGTACAATGTTTAAAATAATATTAATAGAATTAAAACACCGTATATTTTATATGCCTGTATATACAGAGTGTAAGTTTAATAAGACTGGCATTAATGGACTTATTAAGGAGAAGGAAATTCCGGCAGAATTACTGAATTATGCGATAGTCCAAGAACTACCACTTGATTGCATATGGAATATAACTGTCCAACATGGTTATCAGGTAATTTATAACTTACCTAGCAACAATCAATTTGTGAGATGTTGGCATAAAGTAGATTATACTGATATAGCAATGTTTAGTTTGAAAGTTTTATTTAAATTTAAATTATAGTAAAAATTAAAAATATTCATATTTATTTTATCCCAACACCCAGATCTATTTATACTTTACAGACTACAGGCTAAACCAACCGAACAATTGTGAGTCCAATTTCATCGAGGTCTATCACAACAATATGAATATATCAAAGCGTGAATACCAATTCTGCGCGACACTAGTCGAGTCCGTGCGCTCAAAGACTAACGTAATGCACATCCGGTTCTTTGCCAAACACAACGCCATACAAACCACTCGTTTTGAGATCATATACACGGCCTACAGGCAGCTCAAAAACAGAGGTCAGTTTTTTAAATTACCATAATGTTTCTAGTTATTATACTTAATATTTTATATTTATTGTGTAATGTTATTTATTTTGAATAATCTTTTTAAAATATATTCAGATCAGTGTCGGCCCAACGAGTTTGACTGCGAAGACGGCACTTGTATTGATAGGCAGCTGGAATGTGACGGTTGGGACAATTGTGAATACCGTTATGATGAAGATTTGGAAACAACATGTGCGCCTGGTAATTATGTTAGAGTAATGTAGTAAAGAATCTACATTGTAGATTATGTAAATTATAATACAATTTTTTCAAATAGTCATGTAACTTAAATAAGTAAAAATTATAATATTTACATTGTATGATTGTCTATCTAAATATCTTAAATACTTAAAAATACAAAGTTTCGTATACTTGCAATAATTAGCCCATATCGTTTGAGCTATACATTAATAAATAGTACCGAATTCTTCCACTTTAACCGCCATGGCGCCTTATGTCAGGGGTCTCTGACTCGGGTACACCTCAAAATAGCATGGTGTGTTACCTAGGTAGCACGCCACCCCCTCTAAAAAATTGAGATAACACGCCATGTCGTTATACATATGTGTATCTCATATTACTAGCAATGAATACATGTATTTATAATTCCATAATAATTCAATAACTAATTATATATTTAAATGAGAAAAATTAGAGAATTATATCTATTTAAACCATCTATAGTACTAATTTAGGTATTATTATGTGGTAGAATGATTTCAGTCAAAACTGCGTGGCGTGTTACCTAGGTAGTACGCCACCCTCTCTAACAAACTGAGATAACACGCCATGGCGGCTAAAGTGGAAGAATTCGGTAATAATATTTAGACACATTTTAGAAAATTATATTAACTCACTTCACTATTAAATATACCTACCTGTATTAAATAAACTAATCATGGTTCATGTTTGTGGATATACAGACCAGCGATCATCTATAATGATGTTCATATCGGAGCAAATGGTGGCAATACTAGTGGTGATCGGTGTCCTAATGTTGGGTGTGTTTGTGTGGATCGCAGTATTCTGTTGGAAGGATAGGGTCTGATCAGGGAATAACATTATATGTTAGACTAACTTTATATAGCAATACTTCTATCTACGTTTAGTTGCATAAAATTACTGTATAATAATTATTAACAATTATTGTGCCTGGTGCCAATTCTGTTTTTAACATATTGATACAATATATTAATGTAAAGTTATATAATAATTAACTATCATATAAACATCGCTCGATGTCACTAGTGTTGATGTCATAGTGTTTACCTTGTTTCATCAAGAATATTTTTTTACTTTATCCAAAAATGTCACTTAATTATTTAATGCTCTGTAGTAATTATTTGTAAACTTTTAAATATAAATATTAATAAAACAATTATAATTACAATAATCCGAAATAATGAATTACATATTTTACATGATATTTATATTGATTACGTGCTCTCAATGCATGATAACTAGTAAGTGGTTATAATTGGGATATTATTTAATTCATTATCCTATGCTTACTGTGCACTCATTAGAGGTCTGAGTGCATTAGAGCTAAAAAGTTTGTTTAACGCTATGTTTTTGGCATTTGTTAATTGAAATATGATTTCTATTTATTTAATTATGTTTTTTATTTAGAATTTGTTTATTCATTCATAAAATTATTACATTAGAGTATCAATAGGCTATGCTCACCTCTGTGCTCAAATAATATTTTAATATGGTTTGTAATTTATACTTTATTCACGGCCTAATCATATATAGTGTACATTTATATGAGTGGTGGGGTTTATAAATATTTTTGAATCACTTTTATAATAAACTAAAATAGTTTATAATTTAAAAAATTTAGTTATAATAATTTATTTTCAAACACAGGGCAGGCAATGACTATATTAATAGTAATGTCTAAAGCATTGATTCTTAGGTGACTAAAAAAGTGTTTTAGGTACTTAAAAAGTTGCTTAAAAATGGCTGAAAAGGTGATAAAAAAGTGGTAAAAAGTTAAGAAAAAGTTAGTTATTTTGCATTAAAATAGTACATTACAAAGGTTAATTACAGCAATTTTTTAATTAAATTATATCACAAAATACTTTTTGAGATTTTAATCTAAATTAACATAAATGAATGCCAATTAATTTGTAACATTAATATCCACAACCAATCCTTTCAATTCCTCTATAAAAACCCGATTCTTTGTTATCAAATTGTTGAATAATTTCTGCAAATCGATCAAAATATCCATTAATTTTGTATAAAATTTGCAAAATAGGTGAAAAGTTACTAAAAAGTTACTAAAGGTGATAACGTCCCAAAAGGTGCTAAAAAGGTGAAATAAAANATACTCCCAAAGGGGTATATCGTGTGCCCCCAAACTTTCAGGAGGTTCTCCGCTTTCGGGAGAAAAAGTTATTTAACTTCAAATCAATGCTTTAGTAATGTCTATCATGAATAATAGGTAGCATATTAACAAGGTGAATTAGAAACCACGTCACTTTTTTTTAAAGCCCTTCAAATTTATGCCTATTCATACATTAGAGTTATTACACATCGAATTATTTATTGTGTTTTATTTAACAAATTTGATTTATCACAAATAGATTTATATGGAAAATTAACAATAATTATAATTAGGTACAGTATTGAATCATTTGGGTGAAGTACCAGTTGTGTGAACTAACCATTTGTATGAACCAAACCCTAAAACCAAAACCCGCAGACGTATCTGTATTACAATTTTTTCATGGTAAACACACTTGCAGAGGACACACTTGCCTAGTAAACAGTGAACAATTTAGAGCTATTATTATACAACATTCAATGCATTTTAGGATCAGTTGTGTGAACCATATATTTTTGCCATTTAAATGACAACTGATTTAATGAACAATTGAATTAAATTATAACACAATTGTTTAAAACTTCATTTAAATCATTAAACCAACAGAACATTATAGGCAATTTCTCATATAACAATTAAAATGTGCAATTTTGAATATTAATTGAAAAATTAATGTTTTTTATCTTAGTTTTACCGTGATCACTTGTATGAATGGATCATTTGTGTAAACCAAATGCTAAAACCCAATCACTTCACCCAAATGATCTTTTACTGTATTACTAAATCTAATTTAACAGTACAGTCAACTATCGATGCTGTCAACAGAATGGTTCCTGGGATTTAGTTGATAACATAGATTAGTTGACAACATTGAGATAATTTTAACATTAGGTTTATGTGGTGGAGATTTGGGATTTGGTTGATAACATAGAGTAGTTGACAGCATAGATAGTTGACAGCATAGATATTTGACTGTATAACAATTCCCTAGATCATGTAATTAACAATTTATGATAAATATACTGTAATATTATATAAATGTCAAAAGTAATGTAATTTATTTATTTTTAATACACAAGTGATTATATATAAATTTAAATAAATAATTATTAATTTGCAACATATTTACAATTAATGTTTTTAATATTTAGTAACAATGATTATTAATATATTTATGGTTTTTTATATTTATTTTTATATATAAATAGAAATTTACTGTGTTACAACTTTTGTAACAATTTTTGAAGTGACAAATAAATTATTTTTCTCCCGAATGCCTGCGTTTGTGTCGAATCAGATTCTGTTTTGTTGCGAATTTTTTGCCACAATTTTCTTCATTGCATTTGAATTTCTTTTTATTCAAATGAACACAACTTTTGTGGAGAAGTAAATTCTGTTTTGTTGTAAAACTTTTGTGGCATTCATTGAAATAACAAACAAATGGTTTTTCTCCCGAATGGATAATGCTTTTGTGTCGAAATAAACTTTGTTTTGTTGTAAATTTTTTGCCACAATTTTCTTCATTGCATTTAAATTTCCTTTTATTCAAATGAACACAACTTTTGTGGAGAAATAAGTTCTGTTTTGTTGTAAAACTTTTGTTGCATTCATTAAAATCACAAACAAGTGGTTTTTCTCCCGAATGTATGCGTTTGTGTTTAATTAAATACCATTTTGTTTTAAAAATTTTGCCACATTTTTCTTCATTACATTTGAATTTTCTTTGCTTTAAATAAACATAAATTTAAAGAAATTATTTTTATTACAAAAAATGGAAATAAAATAAGTATAATAATTGATTAAATGCTTACATTTTGTGGTTCATTGGGGGTCGTCTCGAGCGGCGCCGCCACCGATGTGTCCACCGATTTGTGCGATACGGCAGTCGGTGTCTCGTCGTCTCCAGCGGTGCGACAATCGGTCAACTCTTCGTCGTCGGTGTCAATGACTGTTCCGTTGCGGGCGCTCTCCCTCTCAGCCAACCGACGCTTATCGGGAGTCACAGTGTGTCCGGAGCGGGGTTTGTGGGCACTGTCTATACGCTCGTCCAGTTGTTCCCGATTGTCATACCTTTCCCGGCAAACAGTGCGCCCATAAGTCTTATCCATAGACCTAATATTGCGGATCAAAACAAACAGACAATCATTCAATTTGTGCGCCCATTATATCCGATGACATACCTGTGCGACGACGTGTAGTGCGAGCGCCGGGAGTGGCGCCGATGTCGACATCGTCGCCGGTGAGCGCGCAGCCTATCGGCCGTGTCGTACGCCCGGTGGCAGCCCTTGCCATGGCATCGGTAGAGATCATGTGCGCCCAACTGGTGCTCGCGTAACATATCGTACACATCGTAGCCATTCTTCCCGTCGCACGGCTGGCGAAG